TTTTTGGTGTGTCTTCAACTTCCTCGATTGTCGGTTTGTCGTCGACAACCTCCTCGGTTTCGATGACCTCCTCCTTTCCATCAGACCTTGTTTTCTTGACTCGTCGTTTTTTAGACTTTTCAACCACTGTTTCGACTACTTCTGTAGTTTCTGTTTCTGGAGTTTCCTCGGTTACAGTAATATCTTCTGCCACAGGTTTTTTAAATGGTTTGAGAGTAACCTCTTCTATCTTTTCTTTGGCCAATGGCTGCTTTTGGGTTTTGGTTTTCTTTAGATTAACGATTTCTTCTGTCCATGGAATTGAAGTTGTTTTATCTCTTGGTTCTTTTGTTTCTTGTACATTTTTAATGTTTTCTTTTTGTGATTTTGAATTATTGGTGATTGTAGTAATATTCTCATTAATTTTGGATTTTTCAGGTGTTTTCAAACTTATATTTTGTTCTGTCCAAGGAGTTATTTTTTTGGTTTGTTCTTTTTTATTAAAGTATTCATTTGATGTATCGTTTTCATGTTTTGATATATTTTCGTGTTTTTGTGAATTTTCTATTATTTCATGTGTTGTGCTTACATTTGGTGTTTTTAACCATGGTCTTGTAGTATAGTCTAATGTTACATTATGTTGACTTTTTGTTTCAATATTTTCAATATTTTCAGTTTTTAATTTAGGTTTGTATTCATCTGGGACAATTTCATAATTATCGTTTTCCTGTTCTCCAAAATAATATTGAGTTTGATCAATAAGAATTTTATCTTCCGATTTAATGGCTTGTTTAATTAATTTTGTTTTATTTTGTTCTATTATTTCTTTTGACACTTTAGAAGTTTCCTTTTGTTTTTTATTTTCAATAACCATTTGTGCTTTTGTGATAAATGTTTCTTCTTTTTGTTTATCTTTAGATGGTTGAACTATTTGTTCCTTTTCCATAGTTCGTGTTAATACTTTATTTAGTATATCCTTTGCCAACGATTTATTATTTACTTTCTTTGTATATAATTTTGTTAACTTATTAGTTACTTCGCCAACTATTTCATTTTTATCATCCTCATTTAAACTCATTATATCGCCTTTTTTCATTTTTTTCGCCAAAACTTGATTTATTATTTGTTTTGCTTTTTCTAAATCTTTTGTATCAATTTTATTTTGAATTAATGTAAATATTTGTTCTGTGACGTATGTATATATGAATGTACCTTCTTGTGTTACTGTTATTAAATCACCAATTTCTGTAGGTTCAATAAGTACATTCTCTGTAATTATGCTTTTTGATTCTACTGATGTTCTTCTAATTCTGTCAATTAAAATTCCTTTTCTCCATGGTAATAGATCATTATTTATTTCTGACCCCTTTTTATCAGTTTTAATATTTTTAATAGAAATTTTTGAACCTATTTCTTTATTATTTCCTAACCTTTGATCTAGTTGCACACTATCCACTACACCTTTATCGTCAAATGTACCGGTTTTATAAGTAACCCCGCGTTGTCCTGTAAAAACATTATTAGTTGTCTTATATTTTTGTTTGCAGTTATAGTATAACTGAATAGTTAAAATAAAAATAGTAAATTCTTTAAATAGCTTTTATTCTGTGGATTTAACAATGTGCTTCCTACAAATAAATGACTCATTTTATTTGTCTTGTTTAGTGTCACATGGAATTCATAACTAATTTTAAAACTTAATCTTTATAAATGAACATTTAATTTTAATATTCGAGGTCATCTAAAGTATTGTTTTTTATTATGAACATATTATTATATTATATAAATATATGTATTTGTGAACATATTATACACAGAGATTTTTAAAATTTGGCAATTGTAAAATCTATTTATTTTTGTTCTACCATAAATCAAATTAAAATATTTGTTTAATTTTATTGTACTTTCATTTTCGTAGATTATTTTGTCCTACATGTTTATGTTTGGGATTTTTTAGTAATTTCAATTTGAGCTAAATTTTCTTTGATTACATATAGAACAAAAAAATTGTAAAATTATTGTTTAACGGTCAAAAATGTTATACATTTTTTTAACTGTCATCAATTTATTTTCAAATTTAATTAAGTTTTTTAATTATAATATGTTATGAACACAACAAATTTCCTATTACAACTTTTCTTATAAATATTAATAATATACATTTTACAATAAATAATTATTTCATATAAAGAAATTAAATTGTTGTGTATTTTACTCAAATCTCTACTTAAAATGTGATGAATGATAGTCATTATTTATTAACCATTAACAATTGTGCCAAATTTTTAAAATATTCATTGATATTCTAAATTTTCTTTATTGATTAAAATAATATTGCCTTAAATATACTTAGTATTAAAAGACTATAAATGAAACTAAAAAATACATATTTTGAATATATTTTTTTTTTTTTTTTAAACACGTCAGAAGACACTTGTACCTCATAACTTTCAATATAATACCTATATATACCAAATCATATTCTGATAACCATACTAGTATATAGTTATTAATATTACCATAAATAGAAATAAAATATTGTCATAGTTTATTGTCACATATGGAAACGTTTTGTGTATTTTGTTCTAAAATGTACATGTATAGAACTTAATATTTATTGTAATAATTGTAATAACTATGTAATAAATTAATTTAAAACTCAAAGTCAGCCAAATGTATTTGGCATATGGAACAATGACGGTTCATCGACATAATTGTTACATGATTAATGTTGGCATTCAAATTATTAATATTATAATAGGTTTTTTTTGGTTTGTTTCTTCTTGGTAGGAGTTCAAATCCAACGGCGGCATGTTGAAGGTTTCATCGATGTAACGTACGTGTAGTGGCCCCCCAAGTGTGATGAAAGAGTTATTATTGCTAACCGAGAAGGGGAGATGCTACAGATGCCAACGTGCTACAGTAGAACAGTACGGTCTAAGGCTTCTGTCAAAAACGTTCATACAAGTACGACAAGAAAACAAGATTTATAAAATATTATTTCTATCTACTTCTATTTCTACAACTGAAAAGTGAGTAATAAAGATATATTGAATAATTACTTATGTACAGTTTAATTTCAAATCAACTTGATAATTGTATATTTTTATTATTTATACTAAACCATAACAAAACTTTTTTGAAATTTTCGTATTTTTTTTTTTTATACAAATTTAATACAGCTTACTGATTACTAATTATAATAAAAATGGCTTTATTAACTAACCTTTTTACCCGTATATGTATGATTTGACTATTATTTTTATCATTTAAAATATGCAATTGATATTGGTAACATGACAAATTGATTTCATTATTAAGTGATACATTACAATATAATCGATACAAAATAAAGATAAATGATAAATACATATAGAAATAATTTTATCACTCCGCTCAGAATCTAAAATATGGTTCAATATGATATATTATAATTATCGATGTAGACTTAGAGAAAAAAATAATTCCCATTTAAATGTACTTCACAAATACTCAATTTCAAAAACATATATTATTGTAATCAATGAAATTCTTAATAAAATAAGTATAGTTTCAAATTATTCGAATAATAATTAGATATCTATTCACGAAATATACTAACTTTCAATTTAAACAGTAATGATTAGATAATTTTTACACACACTACTGTTCAGACATTTTACTTTGAACCCATTTATAACTTTGAATTGTATTAATAAAATAACTAAACAAAAATATAATCGCTTTAATTAGTAAAAAAAAGCATAAATAAACAACAACGATTTAACGCACGAAATTGTACTTGGCTCCTTTTATTATTTATTATGTGTATACTTGTTTATATATTTATATATATATATATATATATACACACAATGTTGTGTGTTTGATCGAGATTATCGAGGCCATACAATTACAATATACACAGAAGTAGACCTAGTTATTATACTGACTAATACAATATAAATAACCAATACCATTGGTTAAATATACTTAAGACGATGCTACACCCACATGTGATATCTGTATCTGTATCGATCTTACAAACATACACGGTAAATTTGCTTTCAGTAGAACTGATTTTTTTATGTTAACTTTATAACATTAGAGCGAATTTGCCTAATTAAAAGGTAAGAACATTACCACTTGTCGGACTTTACGACATTCTAATTTTTAAGCAAATATACTATAAAATATAAAAATACTCATTACTTAATTTAAAATTGAAATATCGTGGAAAACTAACGACAGATAATAAATTGTGCTTTTGCCTTTAAGTCTGATAATAGATCAATTCGCTTTAATATTAAATATAACAACACAAAATCGGTTAAATAGTGAAAGAAAATTCGCCAAGTCGTATGTTTGTAAGACGAGGACAACGCATTCGAGTGTATATAGCACCCTCTTAATCCATACTATAATATATAAACTTAAAATTAAACAACGGGCAGTGTATCTTAAAAAAATCTGTTGTAGATCTATGTTGTATTACATTAAAAATCATAACCGCGAAAAAAAACAACAATTATTACGCGTGTACAATAAAAAAAAAAATAAAATAACAAAGCACACATCATGTTTATTAATAAATCAAAAATAGCCTAAGTAATGTAACCACGAGTACACGAAGATTCGCATTAGATTCGCATTAGTCACGCCGTGCGTAACGTACTAATTATTTAATCAAACAAATTTACGACCAGGTAACCCACGAGATTTTTCGTGACAACTTGAAACGATCGTGTAAGTCACGGACCCTCGATTACATATTTTGTTAGTTGCGCGTGTAATGGGACTGTGAAAAAAGGACTATTTTTAAACGAATTTCAATGTTTGCGGTCTTTTGGCAAACCGCGTAATCTTAGGGCGGTGGACCTGGGAATCCCGATTTTTACAGAACGTGTCTGTCGGTGTGCATGACCCGGTTAAGCGTACACGTACGACACCAAGCCAGGTAACCACACGACCCGTCTGGCTAAAAATAACACCATGACGCGACGATACACTACGTACCTATAGCTATTACATATAGGTAAAACTGTAATAATATTATGACCATATACGTCCGCAATTATCGTAACTCGGATGACGATAAATAACATTCGTTTCGGGCGAAAGGCAACCGCGGACACCGTCGGCCCGAACCGTGGCGATCCCCCGACGGTACGCGTTGCAGCTGCAATACAAATATTGTTATTTTTCAATCGGCCGAGGACACATTGCGAAACTAGTTTTTCACTACAACGGTCCATCGTTGGTTTTATTTGTTACAGACTCTCGCCGCGGAGATCCGCCGTGTTCGACTGGTTCACGGACGACTACCATCATTGGTTTGCAGACGAGAACGTTTCAGCGATTAACTATTGTACCATATTGGCATATTCTATTCTACACGATTTATACGAATCATAATATTATGTTTGTGTACACATAAAATATTATATTGTTTTATTATTTTTATTTTTTTAAACATTTTTTTCCGAAAATAAAGCCATACACATCTCGTTTGTATTATGTTATGTTTTTCCAATGATAATGATCATCTAATGATGTCGTTGACTTGGTATCCGCATATGTTTATTCCATCGTACAATATTTTTTTTTAAACAGTCTTTGTACAGCGCGGCAATAGTAGCAGCGACGGCGACGGCAGAGGCGATGGCAGTTCGAGTAGTCAGTGCATCTCCTGCAGCTGCAGATGTATGTACAAGCAAGGCCTTGAGGATTCTTTTTTTTTTTTTTACTCTCTTTTCAGGGTCATAAATCATTTTTTTTTTCTCTCTCTTGACGCTTATCCTGCGTTTCATCGCCGCACACAGATGTCACATGGCCGCCGTTATGGCAATCAATTAGAATCGCCAAAAAACTGACGCGTGCCAAATGTAAAATCAACACAATGTTGTAAGTTTTAATTATAAACGACCGTACGATTAGGTATAAAAACCGGAGTTCAAAAATTTTTACCCGGTAAAAAAGTGCCACCGTCGAATATACGTTGTTTTTTTATCCATGGCGCACACATGTGTGATATATGTACACACACCGAAGAATTTCCATAAATAGTGACTCGACGAGGGTTGTGCGCACGTCGCAAGGCAGTCCCGAGCACCACCAGTCGGTTCAGAAATAGATTGCCCTAACAATAATACTGTATTATTTCTTTTTCCCTCTCTCTGTCTCTCATTTACTCTTCCTCCCACACACGCTCTCTCTCTCTATCTCTCTCTCTCTCTCTCTCTCTCTCTGTCGCTCACTATTACTGTCAGCTCCACGCCCACACAGAAATTTCCTGTCCTTACACGTGTCCTCCTTGGCGGATTACCGTAAACGCAAACACAGCGTACAACAACTGCGGTTAAATTATGGCCCCGATAATCACATAGCATTGCTTTCGTATTTAAATATACACATTACACACTGATTTGCAGAATCGTCGAGTGCAAAATAATACGGACACTTGGCAAAAAAGAAAATCTTCCTAGACACGACGACGCAGCTGCAGCGATCGGTTGAACAAATCCCGTATAGTCGCGGTGCGCGATAACGAACAGACTCGTGTGTGGTCGTATTGGTTTTCGATCTTCTCAAGTATTATTATTATTATTATTATTACTGCCGGGGTTCGTGGTGCCAGGCGCTTACTATGATTGTTTGTTTTGCGATTCATCATTTCCCGGTATTTTAGACCAAATTCAACTTTTTATGGTTCTTTAGTCGTTAATTTTTTTTACATCGTGAATACGTATAGTCAAGCATAGACGTTGGTGACGAGCAGCATAATTTTTGTATAAAAGAAGTTAAATAAGAAAATACACGTACAAAATTGTGAACACAATAAAGGGTCTGTGATATTGCTCTTTACCACACACTGATTTTTTTTAACCATTTCAATGATGCCTTTTAATTTGTAGTAATGTTTTTCTGTAAATTTAACGATGATAAAACATTTAATCTTTCTGCAACATTTTTTGATATGAGGTTTATCAACAGACAAATTATTCTGCAGTACCGACAATTTCTATTTCGTAACATAGTTTAAAATTATAATTCAAAATCATTGTATATAATTATAAAAGGACGGATTTTCCGGTTGCAAATCTGTTACTATTTAGTATAATATGCTAATTACTAAGAAAAAAGAGTCCGACGTACATTCGTAGGTATATAATATATCCAACGTTTTATAGGTCAGAAAAAAAGGAAATATAGTTCAATCAGTTCCATATTTCAGTTTTGCAACCGAACTGTTAATGGTTTATACTCCATTAACATTACTTATCGACTAAATTACAGGATACATAAGTACTTGCATTCAATAGACGTTTATTAAACATAATAATAATGTAATATTTGTTAATACAATTTATTATATAATCGCACCAGCTTAAATAATTTAATAAATATAATATGATTATACAAAAACAAAATAAAAATCAAGTTAAAAATGAAAAATACATTTTGATAACAATAACTGTAGCCGTGAAAGCCATTAAATTAAATAAGACAAAATTCTTGGAGCACAATTATAATTAAAACTAATAAATAAATAAATAAAAAGAAATAATTTGTATAATTGTATGGCACTTGATAAGTATTCCTGGGTTAAAACGAAGCCTAAACACTAAGCTACATAAATTATCATTTTCTGTATCGGTATTATTAAAATAATAAATAGCACTCAACCTTCACGGATTGACTAAAAAAATAAAGGGAGAGAGCGAGAGAGAATAAACAAATAATACTTAAAGCGTATTTTCCCTCGATAAAATATAATTCTTAAATTATTATTTGAAAGCACAGGTAGCATTTCCATATGTGACTTATTGATAATATTTTAATTCTAATAACGACACAGTATATATATAAATATATATGTGTGTATGTGTGTTTAAATATATCATGTATTATAAATATATATTTGCTTATTGCTTATATAATTATACGTAATCGTGATTATTTCTTACTTTTCACCGTAAGTTTGGCCGAGGTCTCTACTTGTCCAGCGCTATTTGTGGCACGACATGTGAAAACACCAGAATCTTCTTCGTATGTCGATGTTATCAACAGAACGGCCATATTACCTTCATACATCATCTGTAATCACGCGTAGATAATTTGTATAAATGAAAACACAAAATTTGATATTTAATAAATTAAGAAACCAAATGATCTGATAATCGTCATAATCTAATGATAGATATACCATGTATTAAATTTTAAATTATGTTAAATTATATACAATAACTTCATACATTATAAACATGACAGATCAAACGATGACTAATACTGTTCTAAGTATTATTTTTATTTTTTTTTTTTAACTTTTATACATAATCTGACATTTAAAAAAATTATTGTCTTGTGTATACATTTTTTTTTAGATTTTTTCTTATGAATTTAAACAAAGCTATATTTAGTTTCACAATAATTTCATTTTTTATTTGCAGAAAACATTTTGGTGTAAACCCAATTTCAATAGTTTTGCATATCACCAATGATAATTTTAAAATTTAATTTTAAAACATCAAATATTCTCGATTTTAAATTATAAGTGGAGCGATAATATATTTTTGGTGGGAATCTATATACACGATAATCGTAGTTGAAAAAATGATTCGAATTTAAACATTGAGGATAGTTTGGATAGAAAATTGTATCTAATTTTTTATAAATTTATACTAAGTTCCTCATAAGTAGTTCATATTGAAACCAGAAAATCTAAAACATATTTAAATTATGAATTACGATATTATCATTACTTTATTATAGTTTAAAAACATTATTCATTGGGACAAAACTTTTACGTATATTATTATACCTAGGCATTTTTTACACACGACAATATTTTCAAATTCAATATTTTCACCTAACATTAATTTAAACTCTAGTTATACTAATAGAAAAATTATTTTAGTAACATTAATAATAATGTAAAAAAAACATAATATGAAATTACTTAGTGAAATAAAACATATAGGCTGATAAACTGTTTCAATTCAGAATCGTTTTCTTTTTACATTGATTATTGAATTCAAATTTAAAGGCGTCGTTCATAACCAAACACTTTCAAAAAAAGGTAGTCGTTCAAAACCGCAAACTTATATATCTGAATCCCGCATATTTTCCCCAAATCAAACCGTTCAATACCGCACACATCAATATATTTTAATAACATATACATTTATCTAAAATAACTTTATCATTTAGTACCGCACACTATATTTAATCAAGATCACAAAATCTAAAACCAAATTTAGACTCATACGAAACAATAACGTAAACCGTACACGTAAAGTATGTAGGGAAAAAGAAAAATATATTTTAAATTTATACAATCGTTTCTTGACCAAGAAAATAAATTTAATTGATTATTTAAAAACATTAGGGTGTACATTTATTTCAATTTAATTATATATAAAATTATTTTTAATTTATAATAAATTATTTTTTTATAATAAAATATGCTTAATTTTTAACTGTCAATCAAATGAGTACAGTTTTGAACTATCAACCTTTCAAATTTACCTTTTTAATAATAGAATAAATATGTGCAATATTGACGACCGCCGAAATTGAAAACATGTGACCTACTCGATATCTAGCATAAAACAGATCTATAGGTATCCAATTGTACAGCTTATTTGCTCCTTTATACATATATTTCAGAATTCGAGAGAAGTTAATAGAACTTAGAACCTAGATTACATACGTTTTCAATCAATCGTATTTTTTATTTAAGAGATTGGAGGATACTACTTGGATCACAAAACTAATTTACTTAACTTTAATAATAAAAATCGATAAATTTAATAAAACTTGATTGTATTTAAATGCTAAATGAAATAAAAAATATAATAATACAAGAAAAATCAAGTAGTTACATAATATTTATAATTGAAAATAAATAGTAGTGATGTGTGACTTCAAAAATAATTGAAAACTTTACAATAAACTTTGAAAATCAAGAACGAAATAAACAATATAAGCAAGTATAATTCAAGGTTCACGAAGACTCATTTTAAAAATATAATGATTTATGATAACTTACAAATCTATAAGCAAAGATTCAATGGCTAATCCAACCACACATTTTTTATATTTAAACTATTTGTCAATAAATATCAAAATCGTATAAAATACATATTATATAATTTACAATTAGATATTTGGTATAAACTTTTTCCATATTATAATAAAAATTTTACTTCTATAAAATAAAATAATATTTCTCTTATTTTTATGAATAAAAAACTAGGGAACTCGTTCTGATTTATAAGTTTTTAGTAAGTGTCTAGTGCACCTAATTATAGAGCGGGTCACAGTAATTATTATGTATAAATCATTCATAAAAATATGTATGTGACGTCACCCATAATCTTTTTTTTAATTTCAGTAGAAAAATGTATGAGAAATCTTGCATTATATGCTCAATGTTCAAGTATTAAAATTAAAAATTGTATGCACTTTTAACTACAAAAATAATTATCAAATTTTCGTGCTTTGGTCAAAATTTTAACTTCAAACGCTCATAAAAAAAAATCATGTCTATTTAGCTAAATATTTTTTAAGTTCTTAAAAATAATTATGAGGAACCTTGCATTTAATTGTCGAAATATTTTACTCTCAAGTAAAAATTTTATCATACATAATGACATAATACACCACTTAAGTTATTATTTCATTGTAAAACAAATATATTTATTTCTCCGCCCAAAATCAAAAACTGTATTCATAACGGTGATTTTGTAGTTAGGGCCTATTTAATTAGTCCTTCAAATATTTATGAACCAATAAATTTATATTTTATTTTTTATTGTATGTTATATTATTTGATTTTAATACAAATGAACTCACCTTAAAATCTGGTGTTTCGGGAATAAGTATTCCTTCTCTGAACCATTGTACAGACGGTGACGGTTGTCCCGAAACTTGCGTGCGGAACTGAGCCGCATTACCTTCTGGGACGATAACGTCTCTCATCGGGCTCAAGGTTGGAGCTATGTCTTGATTATCAGGTACTGAAACATTATTGTATGATTTATTAAATTTTATTCACTCGGAAAAATGTTTTGTAACTTACCAATGACTTTCAAATTAGCTGACAGGACAGCTTGACCGCCGGAATTCGACACTAGACATTTGTACGTGCCTTCGTCCTCTGGGAACACTTCAGATATATGAAGTGATACTGTTTCCCCATCTTGTGTCATACGGAAATATTTTGATGGTTTAATCACTTTATCGCCTTTTTGCCATTTTACGGTTATTGCTGAAATAATTATAATAATAACAATATAAGTATAAAGTTATCACTTTATTATTATTTTTTTGAGACTTACGAGGTTGTCCAGAAATCTTACAGCTAAACGTCACAGGTTGTCCCTCGTGAATCACTTGTCCGGATAACGGTTGAGTGATTGTCGGTGCCTGTTCTTTACCACTAGGTTTTAATTTAGGCTTATCTTTCTGTTCCAAAGGTTGAACTACTAACTGAGCTTCACACCTTGCTTCGCCAGAATTGTTGATGGCTACACACTCGTAGGTTCCACTATCTTCAGTGACTGACTCAATAATCAAGAGCGTGTATTGGTTGTCTTCGTCCACTGTTTTATAACGAATGTCCTGGGTGATTTTCTTTCCGTTCTATATTAAAATAAAATTTAAATCGTTTTTAAAAATACAGATTTTTTGAAAACTTCTACAATTATTTAAATATACCTTTAACCAATATACGTCCAGTGGCTTATTAGCACTGATTTTAACGTCAAATCTGACTAGTTGACCGGCTTTAACGACTGATCCTTGCATTGTGCTAAGGAAGCTTGGTGGACCGGGTCCTTTCCTGCCAACTTGTTTACGTTCTTCGACAAGTAAATTGGCACTGCATTTTGCCTTGCCACCTCTGTTCTCTGCAATGACGGCAAACACGCCAGAGTCTTCCATAAAAACCTTAAAACCATGATAATATTAAATAATATTCAAAGCAATTTGTTTCATTGATATATTGAACATGGATTATTACTTGTCTAATAATTAGTATTGACTTAGTACTAAACGTGTGTATTTGGAAGTCAGGTGAATTTTGGATTAAAAAGTCTTCTCGGTACCATTTAATCGTAGGTAATGGCTCGCCATCGAATTCAACTTCAAAACGGGCTTGGTCTTGTTCGAATGCGCGGCAAGGTTGAATTTTAGTTGTAAATATTGGTGGTTTGGACGGTTCCTTGAAAAAAGATAATACTAATATACATAAAATATTCATATTGTGATTTATGATTATTTCCTTACAACTTTTCCTTGAACTACCCTTTCTTGGTTTTTACGTGTATGTTCTACTTCAGTTGTCTCAGTGGCAGTAATTTTTCTACGTATTTCTTTATCACCTTGTATCTACGTAATAAATGTAAATAATTATTCAAAGGTTAATGTTAATTTTTTTAATTTCCACTTACTTCTTTTTGAGTTTGTTGCTGTTTCGCTACGTGAATTTCTTTTCCGTGTACCGCTGACTCAGATGGATCCGGTATTATTTGTGGACTTTGATCACCCCGTGCTTTAAGTAATTTTGTTGTTTGCCAAGGCATTAATTCTTCTTTTTTATCTTTAACTCTAAATAAAATAAATTTTATTTTATAGTTAATTGTATTAAATGATATATTATACATTATTTTAGAGTTAATTAATAATAATAATAATAATGGCTTTACAATGATTCTTCGTAATTTTTAGACATATTTTTGGATGTAGTTTTCAATTTCTCGCCTGCAATTGATACTTGATGATTAGCTTCTCTGATTCTTGCCTCTTTTATCACTTGATCTCCTTCCAACTATAAACCAAATCAATAAATTATATAAAAAAAATTAATTATTTAAAAATATGTTTAAATCTGTGTTATTTATTCAAATTTATCCTCAATTCTTTAAAAATAATTAATATAACTATTATTTGTATACTAATATAATAAAAGAACACATAATTAATATAAAATAATCATATTAAAAATCTAAATTTTATCAGTATTAATTTGAATTTAATGATTAATATTAGTAGTTACTAGTAAGTTGTTTTATAAATTATTAATTATAAAAAGTCTAATCTTTCACCAATATTTTGAATAACATAATAGCATACATGTATAATATACGACTTAGGTACTAAATAATACACAAGAATCAATTTATTTTAGTTAATGCTAATTTCTTTAAAGTAAGTATAAAAACTTGATAGTGTTTAAGTAATAAAATATCAATGTTTTAATTTATTAATGTATATATATAACATTTACTTACTTTACTCAATTTATTATAATAATCCTCATTTTTCTTTTGTTTCACAGTTTCAGTCCATTCAGGTTTTGAATCATTTAATTGCTTTTGTTTCATTTGATCACCAACCGTTGATATAATCATATTACTATAATCAATATTTTGAACATTTGATGCTCTATCAGTAAACACTTTTTCAAGTTCATTCTCTTTAAGATCCCTTTGGTACTGCACCAAATCACTGTCGTACCATGCTAAACATACATTTTAATTACAATTTGTCTTCATACATTTGTCAAATATCAAATAGGTAGGTATATTCATGCAATACACTTACATTTTAATAAACTAAATACTATAAACTTATAAAATATCATATAAAAAAATGAAATAATGCATATTCAAAATAAACAAAAGATTATAACTTATAAGTTTAAAAATTCTTGAAATAATTATAATGAGCAATCAAATATTAATAAGCATTGGTTGCTATTAAGTTTTTTTTTTACTACAGTGAAACATAAAAATTAAAAAAAAAAAAAAATACAACAACACAATACCTGATTCAATACTCCAAAAATTGAAATGCTGTAGATAGTTAGTAGAAGCTACGAAGAATTCCTCTTGACAAGCCAATTTACCATGTTAGAAAAGCTTTATATAGTTGGATATAAAGGATAAGAATTGGAGAGTGTATGTATTTTGAGTATTGTGTTATGCATGTGTGTGAAAATATTTTGTTTTAATATTAGATCTACATACTTGAATATTATTAATTAATACAGCATTATTTACCTCCAAGACTTACACAGCACATAGCCTATTTTGACATAGCTACTTTATAAATTATAACGATCACAATCATAGAAAAGTAATATAAAGCGTTTTCCATTGTTTTTTTTTATAAATTAAACCATATTTATACTTACGTCTAGGTGAATTTTTCAAAACTCCTCTGTAATCATCATGTCTTGAATTCACTGTGAGCATTGTTTCTACACGGGTCTCTCCACATACGTTTCTAGCAATAACTTCAACTTTACCATGATCATATTGCCTTGTCTTTGGTATATCAAGATGCCACATACCATCGTAATTTAATTTATATCTCATTCCCTAGAATAAACCGTTTATTTAAATTAATAAACAAATTCGACAAATCCAAATATTTATTCAAGACTTACATTCACCACAGTGTTTCCATTGACTAACCACATAACTCTTGGTCTCGGAAAACCAGTAACTCTACAACAGAATCTAGCCCAATCACCTTCACATACAGTGACAGGTTCTGGTTTGCTTACAAATTGTGGTGGTTCTCTACGTTTTTCTTCTTCCTCTTTCATCTCAGGTGTTCTAAAAAGGTTTTACACCAATCAGAAATACATAATTTTATTGTATTTTTTCATTTTACTTACACTTGCCACGATGCTTCCATTTCTCTTATTTTTTCAATACTCTTCATTCCTTTAGGAAGCTGTGAGTCATAAATGATACCTGGCTTACCAGATGTTTTTATAGTGGCTCTTGTTTCATCTTGACCATATAAATTAGTAGCCCTACAAACATATTCACCACTGTCTTCGGGATAAATCCAACCAAAATTCATAGCAACATAACCAAAATCATAAATTGGGTTAAATCTATTCTCTGTAAAATAATAAGATAATGACTAAATAGATAATTTACTATATTAATTAATTAAACATACTGTGTCTTAATGGTTTGCCATTTAAGAACCATTCAACCTTCATATTAGGATCACCAACTGGAGCTAATTGACATTCAAATTTGGTTGATTCCATTTCAACTAACGATAACTGATCTTTAATTTGGGTGACAAATCTAAAATAAACATTTAAAAAAATAAGTTTTTTTCTTTCTTTTACGTGGTGTGATTATTAGTGAGATATAAATAAGCATACATTGATATAAATAAATAAATAACACAAATAATAAAAAATAACAAAAAATAATAATACAATTGTATGTAAAATATAGTAATGTTAAATAAATTATTTTTTTAAAGTCTGACATTCAGTTCATTCATTGTTTTTTCTTTTAAAAAATATACATAAAATAAAAACAAAAAATTTACCTTGGCGGTTGTTTCTTTTCAACTTCATACAAATCATCTATGGTCAAATGAATCTCAGATGTATATTTTTTGATAGCTGCTTCCATTTGAGTCAAAGCTTCTGACTTTTTCATACCTTTTGGTACTTGATTTTGAAGTAATATTGTTGGAAGCTCTATAAATTAAAAATATTATTTCAGTATATTTTAAGATCAAAAATAAATGTAAACATACGTTTGCAGGTGACCATAGCTTTAGTTATTGCTTCACCGTGATCGTTTACAGCTCTACAAATGTATTCTCCTGAATCTTCAGAATACATAGACAGTATATCCAAAGATACAAAACCCAAATCGAAAATAGATTTATATCTATGTCCTGAAGGTAATGGTTTCCCATTTCTATACCACTCTACTCTTAATTTTGGATCATTTTTAGGCTCGACTCTAGTTTCAAAATGTACAGAACTTGCTTCTTCAACTGTTGTTGATTCAATCTGTGCATTAAAATATAATATTATTGTTTCAATAATAGCATTATACTAATATTCAAATAAAATTATTGAATATTATATCAAACAATATTATATACATTTAAAAATGAAACTAAATAATTATTGAAACTTTTTTTTTTTTTTTACCTGGGATAAGAATTTTGGTGGCATTGCTTCTATTTCATCATGAATTTTTTTTTCTTGTATTGGCCCTTGCTCTAACGCTTTTAATTTTTCTCCACTCATTCCTTCTGGTAATTGTGACTCTAATATGACATTTTGTTTAGCAGTGCACGTTAATTTTGCTTTTGTAAAGGCAGTTCCCCATTTATTTGTTGCACGGCATATATATTCGCCAGAATCTCGAGAGTAAACATAATCCATGTCCAACGATATAAATCCAAAATCATTTATCACATGTACACGTGAACCAGTAGCAAAAGGTTTTCCATTGAAAAACCAATCAATCCTTAATGTAGAATCATTAACAGGTTCCACTCTACATTCAAAATGAACAGATTTGGCTTCTTGTACATCCAATGCATCCTAAATTAATTTTATAATTATTTTTGATTCTTAATTATAAATTATATAAGAGAAAATATTCACCTTCAGTTCTACAGTAAACCTAGGAGGATTTGGTTTTTCATCTTCAGCCAATATCTCTTCCCGTTTATACATATTCTCTTCAAGCTTTTGAATACTTTTTGTACCTGATCTGAATGTGTTAGGCAATTGAGGTTCTAAAACTATACCTTGCCGTCCTTTAACTTGTAACTTACATGTCACTGTTGCTTCTCCATGTTTATTGGTGGCCTAAAATCAGAATTACTTATTAAAACTTTTTTATAATTACATTATTTATACTTAATACTTTTTATGATTAATTAATTAATTAATATGTGTTATAATAAATTAGAAAATAGGTTCTTTCTACCCAAATACTATAGACTATGCAAATACCTCTGTGTATGTTAAGAAATAAATTTATTATTACTAAACGAGTGAATATTTTAACATTGGTTTAATTGTTTAATCACTGATTAGAAATTATGAAAGTATATTGAGGAAAATTATACAATTATAATGACTAAATAATATCCCCATAATTATAAAATGGTTTATGATTAGAGCCCGACTTTAATGGCAATAATAAAATAAATGTATCATAAATTACTCTGCAAATTAAAAAAAAAAAAATACAACAAGATCGGACAATTGTATGACACATACATATAGCTAATTATAAAATGGTTAATAGCAAGAATTGATATTTTGATAATTAATAAAATAATTTCATTTCTTAATATTTTAATTATTTAGTTAGGTTTTTTTACTATTATAGGCCAATACTCCTATCTTTAATAGTATTATTTATCTATTAATTCATTAACTAATGCCTGATTAGGTTATGTTCATAGAAATAAAATTAATTACTTTAAAATAATAAAGTAATAACAAAAGTTTTAATTTATAGTATTTATACTAATACATAAAATTGAAAAATAACAAATGTTACAGTATTAGTAGTCAAGAACTACTTATATATAGAGTATAAACTAACTATGTCAGGGAACTTGAAAATGTATACAGGATAAGAGAGTGAGTGCATCATATATACCTTCAATAGTTTTCAAAAGAAATTTTAAATAACAATTAACATGTGATGTTATGTCTATCCGAGAGCTAAGTCTAATGCTAAGGTTAGTATTAGATAGAATAACTAAGCTCATTAAATGTAAGTCATTTAATGAATGGCAGATATTAAGAATGTGATTATAAAATATTTATACATAATAAATGCTAACTTTTATATAATTTATATAAAATAGACTTCAAATTAACAAAAACTAACCTTGCAAGTATATAGACCAGAATCTCTAATATAAACACCAGCTACTTCAAGGATAACAAATCCAAAATCATTAATTGTTTTTATACGTGATCCAGCTGATAACACTTTGCCATTGTGGAACCAAGTAACCGTCATGCTAGCATCATTTGATGGTACAAGCTTGCATTCAAAATGAGCCAACGAATTTTCTGACAAACTAAGATCAGCTGGAGTTGTTATGAATTCTGGAGCTCTTCCCAGATCATCTTCAGTTTCAATAGTTGCCCTTGATTTTCCAAGACCTTCAAGTTCTGCAATTCTATCAATAGTAGTGTCCATTCCTTTTGGAAGCTGTGATTCCACAATGATACTTCTCTTTCCTTGAACTTTCATGCTGGCTGTAGTAACAGCGTCACCATAATGGTTAGAAGCTCGGCATGAATATTCTCCAGAATCTTCAGGATATACTGGAGATATTTCCAATATAACAAAACCAAATTCACAGAAAGTCCTGAATCTAGAACCAGCTTTTAATGGTTTTCCATTCCAGAACCATTCCACCTAATCATTTATAAAATTATTAAAAATTTAATTTGAAACATTAAGTGGTGAAGTTACCTTTAAGTTAGGATCATCAACAGGTGTCAAGCGACCTTCAAAATGTGCACTCTCGCCTTCTCGTAAACTATCAATATTGGATAATGGTTCAGTAAACATTGGAGCTTGCCGATTTTCCACAGAAACTCTTTCATCTTTAACTCTGAGAGTTAAATCTTCAAGAGTCTGAATTTTTTCTAATCCTCCTTCCATTCCTCGAGGAAGTTGAGAATCTAAGATCAAATTTGTTTTGGAGGTACAAAGTAGATTTGCCTTAGTAGTATCAGTTCCTGCTTTATTAAATGCTCTACACTCGTATACACCAGAGTTTTCTTCATAGCAATATAGTATATCCAATATTACTATACCAAAATCGTGGAATGTTCTAAATCTATGACCGTGTTGTAGTTTTTCACCATTGAAATACCATTCAACCTAAAAAAAATACATACATAAAAATCATTTTTAACCTTAAAAATAACAAAATTCTAGAACATACAACAAGATTTGGATCGTTCACTGGTGTAACTCGAGCTTCAAAGTGAGCACTTTGTCCTTCTTTCAAATTTGTTATGTCTACTAATTGTGTTGTGAATTTAGGAGCTTCTGATACAGGAGATGATGCAAATCCAGCTGGTTGTCCTGTAGCATTTTCTAACTCTCGAATTCTAGCTAAGGAAGTAGGTTGCAATGAATCTAAATATACACCACCTTTTCCAGAGTATTGAATAGAGGCTTTAGTTATATCTTCACCATACCTTGATAAAAAATAAAATTGTTTATTATTTTATTAATATTTGCATACATTTTTTTTTTAATAATAATAAATTTAAACCTACTTATTGCTTGCTTTACATATATATTCTCCAGAATCATGATTTTGTATGTATGCTATATCCATGACAACAAATCCAAAATCAGAAATCATTTTTACACGATTTTTGTGTAATAATGGTTTACCATTGTGGAACCATTCTACTTTTAAATCAGGGTCATTGACTGGTATTAATGTGCATTCAAAATGTGCAGAATCTCCATCTTTTAAGCCAACTAAAGTTTGAATTTGAGATGTGAATTTTGGTTTTTGACCAGTTATTCTTTCTACGCATTCTAGTGTAACACTCATTTCTGCAGATCCATAGTCATTTGTTGCTTTACAAGTGTAAGTTCCTGTATCAGCTATTTTTGTACCAAGAATTTCAAGAACAACCATTCCAAATGCATATATTGTACGAATACGGTGACCTAGACAATTTAAAATGAATTATTATACAAATACTCAATATTCAAACCAGTTAGTTAACTAACTAGCTTCAATAGCATTTCCATTGTAGAACCATTCAACAACCATTTTCTGATCACCAACAGGTGTTAATGAAGCTTCATAGTGAGCGATTTCACCTTCACTTAAAAATCCAAGATCTTTAAACTATATCATAAAAAAAAAAAAATTGAAGATTAAAAAAAAAAATATGAATTAATATAACTTTTATTTATATTACTTGAGAAGTGAAAATAGGTGCATGTCCAGTCTCTTTATCGGTAATTCCTTGTTTTTGTCTTTGTAAAGATTCTTCTAAACTTTGAATTTTTTCCAAACCTTCTTCTCCTTTTGGGTGTTGAGTATGCTCAATTAATCCTTTGTTACTACTGCAATATACAGTTGTCGAAGTATAGGTTTCTCCAGAATGGTTATATGCTTTGCAGGTATACACTCCTTGATCTCGTTCATATACATCAGTTAAATCCAAACTTATAAAACCAAAATCATTGTTTGTCTTAAAACGTGATCCTAAAATTTAAATTAAATTTTCCAAAAATTTACTATCTGAAGTAATCACATAAATAAGCTGAACATCAATAATATAATTTTACCTAAATCAAGTACTTTTCCATTAAAGTACCATTCAATTTTGAGATTAGGATCATTCTTTGGTTCAACTTGTGCTTCCAAATGCAGTGCTTTACTTTCAGCTAATATGAATTCAGCTTCGAGAGGTACAATAAATATTGGTTTTGGGAAAGTTGCCTCAGGCAATGATGCTTGACGTTGATATTTAGAAGCAAGATTATCTTCCACTTTTTGTACCTTTTCTAATCCAGTTTTTCCTTGTGGATGTTGTGTGTCTAAATGAATGCCTTGGAGACCTTAATAATAATAATAATTACTTTATAGTTTTTAAACTAATATAAACATTTAATTTAATGATATTACCTGTACATTTTAATGTTCCCGTAGTTACAGCCTGGCCTTTGCTATTACTAGCTCTACACGTATATATTCCAGAATCTTCTGAATATGCGTGATGTATATCTAATGTGACAAAACCGAAATCATAGGCAGACTTGAATCTTGCTGCACTTTGAAGTGGTTTTCCATTTACAAACCAATCTATCAAATATATATATATATATATATATATATATAATATAATAAATATAATAATAATAGTAAGTTAAAGATGCATTAATATATTAATTATAATATCCTATATACAATGTTTATATAAAATTCAATAATATATTTTAAAATATTTAAATACCAATTTTCAAAGTTGGATCTTTGGAAGGTTCTACTTGACATTCAAAATGAACATCATTTCCTTCTTTACATTCCCAATTATTAAGATGAGAAATGAAAACAGGACTTTCAAAAACTGGTTCTGGTCCTTCAACTCGTTCAGCATGAGGTTTTTCCAAATCTTCAATTTTTGAAAGTGATTCAGGGTGTAAAGTGTTACTTATTAACCAATGGCTATCAGATATTTTTAATGTACAAGTTGAAACAGCTTCACCCAAAACGTTAGATGCTTTACATGTGTAGATGGCTGAATCATCTGGTCTCAAACTATTTATTGCTAATGTGACCAAACCAAAATCAAAAGTGCTGCGTATTCTTGAACCTAAAATAATAAACATAATTAAAAAGAATAATAAAAACATTAATTAAGTATAAGGAATTATTTAACTTTCAATTATTTAAGTAATTAAAATATATTTACATACAATTATTGTATACACTCTTGTTTTACATTTTTAGTTGATCAAGAAAAAATAATTATAAATTATCAAAACATACCAGTTGTCAATGTGACTCCATTTTTAAACCATTCAATTCGAAGATTAGGATCTGCTCTAGGTTCTACTTGAGCTTCTAAATGAACATGCTGACCTTCAGCTAAACGGTCTTGATTTTGCAAATGTGAAGTAAAAACAGGTGCTTGTTGTGGTCTAGTATCAATGAACATTTCAGGAACTTTATTCATTTCTGCTTCTTTAAGCTGAATTTTTTCCCATGCATCAGGTTGTAATGGTTCATGAATAATTGAAGAGCGATCTAAAGTAAAATATTTGAATAATTAAATACAACAAATAATATATATTAACGTAGTATTTACGTTTTATTTTCATAGAAGTGGAAGAAACAGCTTCTCCAGCCCCGTTAATTGCTTTACATGTATAAACTCCAGAATCTTCTGCAACAGTAGAGCTGATATCTAATGTCACAAAGCCAAAATCGTTTGTTACATGGAATCTAGAGCCTATTCAAAAAAAAAAAAAAATTGAAAATTAAATGAAAATTCACTAATAAAAATATCTAAAAAAAAATGTCTACAAACATATTTATGTTTAAAATTAATTAAAATATTTGTATTTTACAACTTACCCATTTTTAATTCAACTCCATTAACATACCACTCAAAACGTAATGTTGGATCACCTACTGGTACAACTCTACACTCAAAGTGAGCATGTTGACCTTCAATAAGCTCTGAAGGGCCTGTAAGAAGTTGTGTGAAAATTGGTTTCTCATATGATCTTTCTGCCTCTTCTCTCTTCAATGGTTCTTGACCCCGTTCTAATTCAACAATTTTTTTAAGACCTTCTGGATGTTGACTTTCTAACTGAATATCAGATTTTGCTAATAATAAAAATATATATATACATTAATAAAAATAACAATTGTTAAATTTTTTTTTTAATTATTTACTTCTAACTCTCATGGAGGCTGTCGAAATTGCTTCCCCAAGAGCATTTGTGGCTTTACAACTATACACCCCATTATCTTCATCTCTTACATGAGAAATGTCTAGGGATATATAACCAAAGTCATATGTTTTTGTAATCCTCGAACCTAAAATAAAATGTTTATTAATATTATATATTATTTCAAATTAAATAAAAATTTCACTAATACTTGTTTCTAATGGTTTTTCATTTCTAAACCATTCAACAGTCATTGACGAATCTCCAATTGGGATAAGACGACATTCAAAGTGGGCTGTTTGTCCTTCATTTATGCTGTCAATATTTTGTAAAGGTTGTGTGAACATTGGTCTTTGTTTTGAAATAGGTTCTGAATAATCTGCACGTTTGAAAGGTACAGCCATTTCTAACTCTTTTATTTTTTCTAATCCTTCAGGTCTTTGAGAGTCCAAAATTATACTTCCACCTCCTTTTATGCAAAACATTAACATTTTATTTAAGTCTAGAATTATTTATTTATTGTTTTAAGTTATTAAATACTACCTTGAACTAATAAATTAATATTTGAAATAGCTTGACCCAATTCGTTGGTAGCTTTAACGGTATATTTGCCAGCATCTTCAGGAACAACATGACCAATATCCAAAGATATGTAACCAAAATCATATGTAGTATGGAAACGAGAAGCAGATCCAAGTGGTTTGTCATTATGGAAGAACTCAACTTTCAGTTTAGAATCGTGTACAGGTTTTACTTGACACTCAAAGTGGGCTGTTTTTCCTTCAGCTACCTCAGTAGTGCCCTGTTAAAATAATATTTATTTTGTTATTTAATACTATTGAATATTAAAAAGATTAAAACAAAAATATACCCATAAATCAGTCAATGATGGTGCTGTTGGTGGAGGCTCATCAATTTCAAGTTTTGCTGGGCGTCCCTGCGCTTCAAGTTCACGAATCTTTTCTAATCCATCAGGATGTTGTGTTTCTAAGTAAATACTTCTACGAGCTGTTAAAAAATTGTAATAAATATTATAAGAGTATGTATATCATACATTATAAAATTTAAAGGACACAACATTATCATAAATAAATTAACTTACAGGCAACATTAATTTGACAAGTATTTACTGCTTCTCCTTTTTTATTGGTGGCTTTACACATATAAGTACCGGAATCTTCAGCATAAGCATACAAAATATCCAATGCGACATATCCAAAATCATGTGTAGTCTTAAAACGATGGCCTGTTTTAATTGCTACTCCATTAACGAACCATTCTATTTTCAAATCAGCATCATTAATTGGTTCAATTCGAGTTTCTAAATGAGCATGTTCTCCTTCTTTCAATAATTCAAGACTAAACGTACATCAATTAAATATTTTTAAAGTATTAAAATAATATAATGCCTATAGTATTATGTTGAACATAAATTTAAATAATTTTATTTACCTGTTAAGAGGTGTAAGGAATACTGGTTTTTGAAGTTCAAGTACAGCTTCTTGAGCTGTAGGTCTTTCATAAGCTTCAAGTTGTTTAATCTTTTTTAATCTATCTTCATCCAATGTGTCTAACTGAAGACCAGATTTAGCTATATAAATAAAATTTGTTTAATATACTAATAATAATCTTTAATAACACTGAAAAATAATTTATTGATAAAAAAAACTTACAATCAACTGTTACAATGCAAGTAGTGACTGCTTCTCCAGCAGCGTTTTTAGCTTTGCACATGTATGTACCTGAATCTTCAGGATAAGCATAAAGTACATCCAAAGCAACAAATCCAAAATCATAAACCGTCTTAAATCTGTGGCCTTGAGGAATTGGTATTCCATTTCTAAACCACTCAACCTTCATAGTTGGGTCATTAACTGGAATTAATGTAGCTTCAAGATGTACACTTCGTCCCTCTGGAAGATGTTCTATATTCTTAAGAGGTCGTCCAAATTGTGGTTTTTCTGTTATTAGAACGTCTTCAGCAGCTGCTCTTTTAAATCTAGAGTCATCTTCTAAATACTGTATTTTGTTCAAAGCTCCTTGATGTTGAGTATCACTAATAATCGACGCTCGAGATTGAACACCTAGCTTAACAGATGACTCAGCCCTACCAAGTTTATTAATAGCCCTACAAGTATATTCTCCAGAATCTTCTGGTAAAGCTGATAGAACATCCAATGACGCAAAACCAAAATCATAAGTTGTTCTAAATCTATGTCCTGTTTGTAATGGTTTACCATTGTGTAACCATTCTAATTGCAGTGTATGATCAGGATAAGGTTCTATGCGACATTCATAATGAGCACTTTGACCTTCAATTAAACTTTCAGTGCCATTTAATGGTACAATAAACTTAGGTGCTTCAGTAACTTCCACTTCTTTTTGTTCTACTCGTTTGTACCTGCTGGAATCTTCAAGCTGTCTTAATTTATCTAATGCTGCTTCATGTTGACTTTCCAATTGAAGAGAAGCTTTAGCTGAAATAATATTTATTATTTTAAAGTTCTTATATTCTTATAATTACATAATTAATAATAAGTTTAAAAAAATGCTCACAATGCACATTTAGTGTGGCTGAGGTGACTGCTTGTCCTAAATCATTTATAGCTCTGCATGTATAAGTACCAGAATCCTCGGGATAAACATATTTAAGATTAAGAGCAACATAACCAAAATCATGCATTGTTGATACACGATTAGCTAAAAATATTAAATAAAAATTTTATTTTTAAATAATAGCTATTACTTTATAACTAAAAATAATACATTATTAAATAGTATACATACATGCTTGAATAGGAATTCCATTTCTTAACCATTCTACTTTTAATTTGTCGTCACCCACTGGTATTAATCTTGCTTCAAAATGAGCAGGCTGACTTTCAATCATTGTAATATCTCTCATAGGTTGAGTAAATATTGGAGCTTGTGTTACTACATCGTCTACAACTGATTGACGTTGATAACGGTTTGAGTTTTCTAGCTGAGCTAAACGACCTAATGCATCTTCATGCTGAGATTCCAAGTAAATTGACTTTCTCGCTAAAATTATATTAAATTAAATTGATTAAAAATTAATTATTTGAATATATTAATTTATAAACTCACATTGAACATTGAGATTTCCTGATGTAATAGATTGTCCTAACCAATTAGTTGCACGGCACGTATATGTGCCAGAATCCTCAGGTAAACATTGAAGAATATCCAATGCAACAAATCCAAAGTTATTAGTTTCAGTAAATCGAGATCCAAATTTAATTGGAACATTATTGTGGAACCATTCTACTTTCATGGTGTTATCAGATACTGGGATTAATCTACATTCAAAATGAGCTCGTTGGCCTTCTTTAATATCGCAATGCTTTAATGAAGTAGTGAAAATTGGAGCTTGAGTAGTTGTTTCTTCAATGTCTTCTCTTCTGTTGTATCTAGATTTTTCTTCAAGATACTGAATTTGTTCTAGACCCATTTCATTTTGAGTATCTGTTACAATACCTGATGAACCTGCACACAAATAAAAATATAAATAAAAAAAAATTAAAAAATATTTAAGTATTAATAAAATTATTTACTTCTGCATGTTAAATGGGCATTTGTTTCATCAACACCAAGTAAATTAACAGCACGGCATGTATAAGTTCCAGAGTCTTCTTCAATGACATCTATGATATCTAAGGCTACATATCCAAAATCGTGGATAGGTCTGAAACGATGGCCTATAAAATAAAAATAAATATATTATTTTTAAGATAATAATATGTATATAGTAAATTAATTATCATATTATTTCAATATAGTCTTACCAATAATGATTGGTTTTCCATTTTTAAACCACTGAACTTCTAGATTAGAATCTGTAACTGGTTCTAATTTACATTCAAAATGAGCATGTTGTCCTTCCTTTAAATTTTCCACATTTTTTAGTTTTGTCAAAAAACGTGGTTTTATTTTAACAGACTCTTCAATCATTTCAGCTTTTTTGTATCTCGCAGAATCTTCTAGATATTGTATTTTTTCTAAACCATGTGGATGTTGTGAATCTAGTATTAAATTTTGTTTAGCAATCACTTTCACTGAGCTAGAAGTAACAGCTTCACCCATTTCGTTTCTAGCTTGGCAAGTATATACTCCAGAATCTTCTGGATAAACACTTAACAAATCTAATGCTACATAATCAAAATCATAGGCAGGGCGGAATCTATGTCCTGTTTTTACTGGACGTCCGTTGACCAACCAATCTATTTTCATACTTGGATCTCCAACCGGTTTTAATCTACATTCCAAATGTATGTTTGTACCTTCAGATGTCTGAATATTATGCAATGGCTTGGTAAACTGTGGCCCTTGCATAATACTTTCTTCTTCAATTATCATTTTTTGATATCTTGATGCATCTTCTAACATTTGTATCTGCTCTAATGCATACTCATTTTGACTTTCAGTTAAAATGTCTGATCGGCATAATACCTGTAAAAAATTAAAAACTATTAGATAATATTCATATTAAAATAGTATAATAGACATAATATTTACATTGACACATGCAGATGTGTGAGCTGATCCTAAATGGTTTGTAGCTCTCACAGTGTATTCACCAGAGTCAATTGATGTGACATGTATGATATCCAAAGCAACATATCCAAAATCATAGTATGTACGGAATCTTGAACCTTTTAGAAGCATATTTTGATAAATTATTAAACTATTTATGTTATACAATTATATGAACTAAATTAAAATTCGATAAAATTATTTAGGTAAATTTTAATTAATAATTACCAACTGTTACAGGTTTTCCATTTTGAAACCATTCAACTCTCATGGTAGGATCACCCATAGGCTCAAGACGGCATTCCAAATGAACATTTTTACCCTCATTCAACGGTGCAGGATCACTTAATGGTTGTATAAATATAGGTCTTGACTTAGAAATTTCCTCAATATCATACTGAGGTTCAGTAAACTTTTTAGATTCAAGATAAGGAGCTTTTTCAACTACTCCACGATGCATAGTAGATGTATCAATATTTGAACGAACTAAAAATAAATAAAAAATAATTAAAAATTAGTACCAATATAAAATTAATTATATGGTGAAGAATGAATAAACTTTTGAAAATTACCTTCAACTTCCATTGTAGCTGACAGTTGGGCCTCTCCTAAGGCATTTCTTGCAACAACCACATAGGTACCGCTATCTTCTGCTCTTACACCAAGAATATCCAAAGCCACATAACCAAAATCGTGATATGTTTGAATTCTATTAGCACTCATTATTACTCTTCCATTAAAATACCATTCAATCTAAAATCATAATGAATATTTAAAAATGTAAATAAATATAAACTGTTAAAAATTATATTTTTATTTGATATAACCTTATTTAACAAAGATACATTCATGCTGAATAATAACAAATCTTATAAATAAAGCTTTTTAACTAATTATAAAAAAATATTTTAAAGTATTAATAACTAGTATACTTTTAAACTAGGTATTAAACTGAAAGTTGATAAAAAATACAATGTCTGCTTATGTTTATAAATTAATAAAATATTAACATGTTATTGAAAAGTACCTAATTATAAAGACAAAATAATAATTACTTTCATAGTCACATCATTTTGAGGTTCTACTCGAACTTCAAAATGAGCTCTTTGTCCTTCAGCAATTTTATTTGTTCCTTTCAATGGTCCAAGAAATCTAGGTTTTTGTGTAACAACTGTTTCTTCTTCTGCCTTTCGTTTATTCTTTCTAAAATGTTGGTTTGATAAAAAAATTATTTGAAAAACTTAATTTAAAAATTTTCTTTCATCAATTTACCTTGAATCTTCCAAATATTGGAATCGTTCGAGACCTCCTGGGTGTTGACTATCTTGAACAACATCTTTTTTAGTAAGAACAGTCAATGTAGCAGATGTTGAAGCATCTCCTAAATTATTATAAGCTCTGCAAGTATATGTTCCAATATCAAAAACAGTTACATATTTTATTGTTAATGCAACATATCCAAAGTTGAAGAATACAGTCATTCTTGAACCTAAAATAAATCATCATTATTTAAATAATAATTATATTACTATATTACACTATTTGTTTATTTTGATATAGTGTATACATACTAGCTTCAACTGGTTTACCATCCTTTAACCATTCTACTTGAAGTGTTGAGTCTCCTAATGGTTCTAATCTTGCTTCAAAATGAGCAAAACCACCTTCTTTAATGTTCTGTTGATCTTTAATTGGCGTTTTAAATTGTGGTGGTGCAACACTTTCAGGTACACTTATTTTATATTCCTGATTTTTTTGTTGTAGATAAGATTGTTCCAAAGCTTCGGTTTGATCAATATACCTTTGCTGTTCTGGGTAGCCTAAATCACCTGTAATACTACTATGAGCTATTTAAAAAAAAAAAAATAATAAAATTATTATTTTAAAATATTTATGGATATTTTATTAAACATATCAAATACTAACCAATAACATTTAATGTTGCTGTGCTGATAACTTCTCCCCATCGGTTTATTGCTCTTAAAGTATATTCTCCACTGTCTTCTACACGAAGATGCATAATATTTAATGAAACATAACCAAAATTAAATATTGTTGTTATTCTTGAACCTGAAATCATTATAACGATAAGTATTATTTCTAATAAAGATACTTTTTTTAAAAACAATTAAACAATTATAACATACTTGCTGTAATAGGTTTTCCATCTTTATACCACTCTACTTTCATTGTTGGATCACTGACTGGGTTAAGCTGAGCTTCGAAATGTGCATTTCTACCTTCTTGTAAATCACCCATATCATGTAATGATTTAACTAAAGTGGGCGGTAATGGTTGAACTTCATCATAACTATCACTTCTTTGATATTTGGAATAATCTTCCAATTGTTCAATATATTTTAAACTGTCTGGATATTGACTGGATTTATCGATTTCATCTCTCCCTATGATATAACATGATATAACATTTAACATGAAAACCCAGGATTTTCATTGAAAAAGTAATTGTTTAACCTTACCTTCAACTTTGAGAACAGCAGTAGACTGAGCTGTTCCAGAGCTACTCGTTACTCTACATGTATACTCGCCAGCATCTTGGGATATAATGCTCAACAAATCCAAAGCTATGAAACCATAATTTAATAAAGTCATAGCTCTTGAACCTTAAAATAATAATCAGTAGTTAAATAATTTTTAATTAATAACCAAATGTTGTACAAACTTACTTGCTTTTAAAGGATAACCATTAACAAACCATTCAGCCACCATTGTTGGATCTCCAATAGGTTCAATTCTAGCTTCAAAATGAATTCGACCATCTTCTTGTTGAGTGATGTCTGCGAGCGGAACAATGAACCGTGGTGGTGGATAAATCTTGTCTTCTTCTGGTCGAGGAGTATGGTATTTTGCTCTCTCGACATGTTTTAGAAAAACAACTTCTGGTTCTGGTTCAGGTCTATGATATTGACAAAATATAAAATTAGATGATAACTATGTTTTTTTTTTTTTTTAATAAATACAAACTATTACTTACTCAGGTTCAATTACTCGTGTTGGTTTCGGTAGCCTAAGACGTCGATCTTCGGAGAAATCTTCAGGGCGAGGTTTCCTTATGATATTAAGGCGAGCCCGTGTTGCTGTCGATCCAGCTGTGTTTTGAGCTGTACATTGATACCAACCTGCGTCTGTTGGAGCAGCTCTTGCTATTTCTAATACTGAACCACCTCCTTCGGTCCATACAGATACCATTCCTGGTTGTTCGCTGATGTTTACACCATCCTATAATAATAATTTTATTAATAAATTATATACCTAAAAATAAAATTAATAATCATAAAATATTTCAGCATACTTTTTGCCATGTTATTCTTGGTACTGGGGTTCCAACAGCTCTGACACTCAATGTAACTGTTTCTCCTTCGCTTATATTTAAAGGTGTAAAACGTTGTACAAACTTTGGAGCAACTACAAGTTCTTTTTCAATGACTCCCAGATTACACTAAATAAATGCAATAAATAAAATAAAATAAACTACTTATAAACTAATTATGTTAACCCTTTAACAAGTGTAATTTAAAAAAAAATCGAGAGGATGGCTTTTATAAACACATTAATATTTTACTAAAAATAATGAAGTTGATTTGATATTCATAAATAATTTTTAAGATATTAAATTAATATTTATTAATACTTTATTGCTTTAAAATTAATTTTGGAAGGTCAAAATTTTAAATTAAAAAAAACTTTACAAGTAATAATATTAATTAATATTTTAAGTAAATAATATTTCAGATTTCTACTATAAAATATTAACATAATGTAGTATTGCTATTGGCATAGAATAATTATAATTACTACTTGGAAAACATAGAACCATTCAAAAATAAATAAATAAATATTATGATTGCTTAAAAATGGATTATTTTAGGTATATTAATTAAATAGGTTAATATTTATTATGATCTATATAAATTATAAAAAAAAATTATTCATATAAAGGTACCTACATTTTGGATAGATAATTTAAAAAATATAATTATAATGAAAGTATAATAATATGTTTAAATGATTATAAATTTATAAATAAGAAATATATTTTTTTAAATAATTAAATCCATCTTGGTATACTAATTAAAATTAATTTAAGAATATGTTAAATTATTTCTAGAGTAGATTTTGATGATAAAAAAAAAGGAAGAATTCAAGAAAGCTGAATGCTAAACTTACTAGATTTTTGATTTCAAATAAATATCATAATATTTTGATGTATTAAATAACAGGTCCTGAATCAGATATAATGATAAATTATGTAAAAATAATTTATCATTATTTGATTCAGAACCTAAATGTCATTGCTTGAGAATTAATCACCTTTCTCACCAATTTATTGTAAAACTTATGAGTTATGACATATTATTAGATATTATATGAAATGATAAACACATAAATATATAATAAACAATTAACTGTGAATACTTTTTCATACTATTATCAGAGGAAAAATAAAAAAGCACTTAATATAATTCATTAGTTATAAGTTTATGACTTATGACTGTCATGGGCGCTATAAAGCCGATTGCGTTCGCCTTCAACGACCTCATTTTTTGGATTTTGTAATACTCAGAAATCAAAACTCTAAACGTTCGAAGTTAATTTGTCATAAGGATAAAATATAATTAAATATAATAATATTATGTTTTGATAATGTTGTATTTTGGCGGGAATTTACAGCAGCACCAACAGCTGAGGCCCGAAAGGCATGATAAAAAAAATTATTATATAGGCAAAATAAACTCACATCACAGTCGTGGTTTATTTACGTTTTGTTTTTCTATAAAATATAATTATAGTCATTATGTCATGTATGTGACTAGATGACCGGTTTAAAATCACAAGATAATAAAAAATTCGACCAAAATGCAAGTTAACAGTTTTTTTAGGTACCGACAAGATTATACCAAAGTACATTTAAATACAATTTTCTACCTACCTAGTCATACCCTGTGAATTGTGATCCGTGACTACTGTTAGGCATCAACACTTATAAGATGCGGACTAATAAATTGTTTATGACATTTGAGGACTTAACGATTACGTTATTGTCTTATCAATGTCTTATAAGGATTTTACAAACATATTACACGGCCACACGAGTATTATGGGGCTATAGTCTATATGTACACTAACACACTATAACCTTAACATTGTAATTACATGATGTGCAAATAAAGTGGATTCTAAATACCGGTCACATGGAAGGATCCCCTCCCCACCACTGAATTCGTCCTGTGAGCAGTTGAATAAGTATACAACGTCCGGGTTAAACAATATTGTATTGGACAATTTGACGATGTAAAACAATAATTCTAAAGTGAGCGTTACCCTGCCCCCTACACTATACATACAGATTTCTGGCAACAAAATTAGTATCTATTATACATACTATGTCATGTCATGGACAGATTGAAAAAATAAGTTTGCCAAAGAAATAAATAAACAGTCGTTTATTTCTATGCATTTCTAGCGCTGATAAACAGATGATGAGTAATGGTACAAGAATATTCGATGATCAAAATAAATATCGTTGAAAATGTATAACATTTTCCATTGATTATGACTGTGTTTATCTCGAATACGGACGAATGACGACGATACCTTAAATATCATTTCCGATAACTGATAAGTACCTAACGTCCGGCGGTCGCTTGTTTGCATTACACAATATACAATAATTATTGTCTCCGGACGGCCGCGATCCGTTCCGATAAGTGTCAACAATAAAATATTAGATATTTATTTTCAGTCAGTTACATTCAGTGTCGTCATTATTGACCGCCGTTCATTGATCCCATCAAAATCTATACAACACATAAATATAGGTATAGCATGTCTGCGTGTAACGACTCATAGAACACATAACTCTTGGTACCCGCAGAGTGTCGTACGACCGGACTCGTACATTACGTCGTATAGGAAACTAGGGGAAAACGGCTTGCTCATTTAATTATGAAAATCAATCATATTTTATTTAGTTTCGTCAATTATATCATTAATTCTATATAACAATAGCATTACTATTTCTGCGGTAACGAGTTTACTGATTTAAGAGCAATGTATAATTTTCTGTTTCTATTGGAAACCATTAAAAAAAAAAAAAAAATTAAAACAAAGTTTATCATACAAGAATAATATAAGAAGTCTACACAGTACGTAGCATGTCCGTATAAAAATGAATCGCCCTGTACAAATTTTGATATATTACACGTCGTATCTAGGCGTAAGACATAATATTAGAGTAATCGGTTTCAAGATGCCATGAAGTTTATACGCATAACTGTGATTTAAAATTTAAAAAAAAATAAATATTTTATTTCACCGCGATTTCATTTGTTTGTTTATTTTATTCAATTCGTTTTTTCCCCGTCGGATTTTCTTGTCGATTACCCTCGTAGAGTTGCGGCCCACCGCCGAGGGCGTGACGTGGCCCAATTTCTAACGACACGTCCGCGTAAACACGTAATGGCATACGTGACGCATGTGCGCGATTCGGCGGTACTGACCATACATATTTTCAAAATGACGTGTTGTACCGTCGCCAAAAGCGGCCGTCGTGTAGAGTTTTATTGTGGCCAGCGATGAGCCACGGACCGTTTACTAGGTATGCGGCCGGTCACGGTGAACGCTTGTTCGTCGGTACGCGCACCCTTCCAGGTACCGACCGCGCATGTCATGTTTGTTTCGGTTCCGAACGGCCGCGTAGGCTTTATACCGTTTGAAATCGATTTAATAATATAAAATATGTGTGTACCCACCAAATATTACGTTGTTTCCAACACGGATGTAGTATCAAACACTATCTATCATTTAATATTATTTAGCTTCTAAGTAGGTATATCGTATGTACCATACGTGTAAATCGCCTGAAAGAATTTAGGGACTAAATTATCGGACAGCCTTTAGAGAAAACATACCCGTGGAGGAACTTCACTCTTTACCAATAATATTCGTTCGCCATACCACATCTTGTACATTAGAAATGAAAACCAAATTAATTATAGACTTAAATCAGTTACAACGTTTTATGCATAATGAATTGTTTTTTATCTATTGATAAGTAAAAATACAAGTATATACTATTAGGAATTAAATAACAATGTACACTTGTTTTTAGCATAGTTATTTAAAATAGTAAAGTTTCTTTATTAAATATTAAATCTCTTTTCGATGCGAATAATTAATGATAAATTCGAAAAATTATTCTTGATCCATAATGGTTGATACATGTCCGATATTTTTAAATGTTATTTAACATAGACACGGGATTTGGGGTGGAATTCTACTAAAAATCAAGGCACCCCCTCGTGATTTAAGCCAATGCAGGTACGTTTGTATGAGCATAGAATTAGGTACGGTGAAAATCAATATTCCAACTAATTCCTAGTAGGAAACAATGGGAAAACAAGGGTAGTCTTTAAGACCAATTGATCATCGATATTTTTTAAACTTTAGACTTTAGAGGCCACTGCGCTATGTTAGTGAAAAACAATAACTAAATATGAGTAAGTAGTAATATGAGTATTATGTAAATTGCATAATAATTAAATATTATTGAATATTATATTGTGTGGGAGTGGATATGAGTCCATTTTAAGTGGTTTGCGGATTACTTTAGATTCGTTCGCTACTAACAGAAGGACCACCATTTCCACTTGTCACTCAATACCTTACCACGTAGGCATCAAAGGCTATCATCTATATATTTTCAATAACGATTAACGACCAATACTTGACTATTAGAAACAACAGAAACCATTAGGTACCATATATTATTGGTACCTAATATTAGTTATAATTGATGATTATTAATACTTCGTATATAAAGTATAATAACGCGATGTTTTTAATAATTTACCAAATATATAAAAATAACGTTATTAATTTTGAAGTCTTTACTCGTTAACGGGTTAAGTTTAACACAAAAAGAACTATAATATTTACTTGGAAAGAAGTTTCTCCGGATTTACTTCTTGCGACACAAACCACCTGACCTGCATCTGCCTGAGACACATTGGTTATCATCAATCCGTGATCACCAGATTCGTTGACTAATATCTTGTGCGTTGCGTCGTCCTTAATTTGCTGACCATTAATATACCACGAGACTTCGGGATACGGTTTGCCCGTAACACGAACATCAAAACGTGTCAATTTGCCTTCAGTCACGTCACGATCACCACAAACACGCACAAAATTTGGCGCCAACATCTTGCCCTCGACCACTTCTATCGACTCGAGCTTGTTATGAGTTTTAGTTATTACATTCTCCCTAAAAAAATATTCACATTTTATTCTTTAATATTCGTATAACAGATTACTATAATAAGATATTATACTTATTATTAAAATTCAAAAATCATAAGTTTTGATTCTGTATAAATACTAATTATTTTATACTCAATAATTAATAACTAATAACTTTGATTCCCACTATAACGTAACTATTATTTTCCTATAATTATTAACAATATTTTTAAGTTTTAACAACCGTTTACAAACGTTTAAAAAGAAACAAAAAAAAAATAAGTTCTATAACTGTTTGTAAAGATAGATTAAAGATAGATAAGTAAGACATATAATACAGAAAAACCAAATACGAGTAATAAACGAAAGATGCAAGTAGGTATTTTTAATGTTTATCTAAACAAAATTAGATAGATATTGTTTCAGAATTTTTAGTAACACATTTTTTTCTAATAAAAATTGAATATTGTATGAAATGTCGACATGATATAAATATATTTAGAAGTAATATTGTTTTAACCTAACCAAGCGCGAAAAAATTATTATTAGTTTTCATAGAACATTTTTATTTTTATTTCGGAGTAGTTCAATAACTGATGAAGTATAAATTAGCCAAACTCACTTGTCTTCTGTTCTGTCGTATGCCATATGCATTGGTTCTACAGCAAGATACGCAGTAGAAACTACACAGCCTTGTGGGTTTTCTACAAGCAGAGTGTAATGTCCAGAATCCTCACAACTTACTTGTGGTATATAAAGTGTAGCGATTTGATTAGTGAAATTGATCTGGTGTTTTGGTCCGTTTACGAGTCTTTGGCCGTTCTTGAACCAAGTCAACTACAAGACCAAAAAGAAAAAAAATCATTTAAAATGCGTTTTAATTTTTCTATTAGTATATTATTATGTTATATCATGTTTTTATTTTTATTTTACCCTTGTATCCTTAGCTGTTGACACTTTTACAGTAAATGTAGCGTTTGCTCCTTCAACTAATTTTGAGTTACGCGGTTTTTGAAGCACTTGGGGTGCTACGACCGGGCCTTGATGTGCGCTGCTTGTAAACTTGACATCCTCTTCACCTAGGTACCTTTTGGTGACAGATTGTCTGAAGGACACTTCACGGAGTAAGCGATATTCGAAAGTATCGACTTTGAAATCCTTATTCAAAAACATTAAAACCATTGTTACATCACAGTAATAATAATAATTAATGATTGACGATCACCATGTTTATAATATTGTCTTACTTCATCGATGTTCGAATAATTATTTGTATACAGCGTATTCTGTGTCTGTTGTACTCGCTGCGAACCATACGTGCCTTGAGGTATTTGAACGGTATGACCTAACAAAATAAATTCAACCCATTAATAATAAAAAGTTATAAGTTAGACCATAATTTTGCATTTATTTTTAGACTTTTAGTGCAATTATATATTACCTTCTGGTTGAATGAAAACAGAACAAATTGCTTCACCATATTGATTGCGCGCCGAACACGTGTATTCACCTTCATCTCCTGGACCGATCTGATTGATCGTAAGAACAACATTCCCTGTTTGTTGATCATACGTCATCTTGTATTTGTATGACTCTGAAAATAGATATTTAATTCAAAATACTGTTATATTACTAAATTTTTTGTTATATTTTTTCTATTGCTGTTACGTGACCTATAGGCCATAATTGATCAGTAGCGTAAGTTAGGACGGTTAGATGCTAGTTGTTTACATATTTACCCAATAGTGGAGCGCCTTTCCTGGTCCATGAGACAAAAGGTTTAGGAATCCCCGTAACCTTTCCTTCGAAAACGGCATTTCCTCCTTGAGCAAATCTGGCATTTTTGAATATTTGTTCAAATACTGGTGGAGCAGCGTCATTTCTAAAAATTGAATTTATTTTTGTTAAATTGTTTTACTAATCGCTATTGCAGTAGTTTATAAGTATTCTGACTTACCCAAATTTTGGAGTAGACTGTTGTACAATAAACCCTTCGTGAACTGAAATATAAAAAAAATATACTATAAGTATAAATAATAAATTAATAGTTATTATTATTTACTTAATATGTCAATAACAACAGGCTTGAACTAAATGTATACTTTGATAAATAATATGGTTGAAGTATTTTATAGTATCAAATAAATTCAAAGATATTTTTCAATAAAATATTTAAGAGCCAAAAGTTATTTACAGTTAAAATAATAAAAACTCTATTAACTTAAAAATTATTAAAAAAAAGACTCCTATTGTACCTATTATCAGCAATACTTCATAATAATAGGAGTATGTGTACTTATATTATTTATAAAATCACGATGTTTGATATAATATATAATTTTTAATTTTATAATTACATCCTTCGAGTAAACGGTAATTATAATAATATCGTTTCTTGGCATGGCCGCGCGAAATACGGGATCAAATTACTCAAACTCATTTTTGGAACAGGTCATATACGCATTATGCACTGTGGGCGATCGCAGCTGTTTTACGCCAAATGACATTACAACGAAATAAAGTAAACACTATGATTTAGGTGATGTTAAAAATTACTGTAAAATTTATTTTGTATGACATTTTTGTGTATTTAATTTAATGGCATGTGCACAATTCCTTTAATTATATGCAAAAATTAAAAGTGTATGAAGTTAAAGAAAAAGTAAAAATATAATATTTTCATGATAGAGAGAAATAAATAGATTTAGTTTTAAAAAAAAAAAAACATAAAACACAAGATTATTACTTTTTATTCTGTACCAAAGTGATGCGGCACAATATTGAGAACTGCAAGCGCATGCGCATACATTTCTATTATCAGCGTATCGCGATTTATAGGGTATATATTATTTATAACTTAACAGTGTCAGCGGTGCGATGGATTCAACTCAATCACACGTCACAGAGGCGAATTTGGTAAAATCAAATACAATATTCAATGTGAACCACTTCTTATTGGTTGATACATGGCCCAAAATGGAAAAATCTGGTTTTAGCTAAGGGACATACATAATGATAATTGTTGTCAAGGTCTTCTTTCGTATGTGTTTCATAAAATCGAAACGTACATTTATGACTAATAAAATCTGTCTAGAAACTATAAATGCCTCGTGTAATAATTCCAGCAAAGGTCATGAAATCTAATAAACCACTGCTAAACGCGAGAATACTTAGAAATCAAAAACGTTACAATTTATAATTATTTCTAGAAATATAGTAGCGTGGTGTTGAAACATAGCATCTCAGAATACAATAAACAAATATATAATAATATTCATGATATTATATAGTTCTGAGAACGTACTTGTATTACGAACTTCAGATATAAGTGTGTTAAGGAAATCTAATAGTGATGACAGAATAATTTTCTGATAAAATAAATAAGACCACTTAATGGAATTTCGTTTATTTAATAAAAAAATGTACGTACGCATTCAACCTTACGAAATGTAATACTTTGTTTTAAATAACCCATTTTTTTACATAAATACTAGTGACCGAAACCATAATTTAATGATTAGTCTAAGTCAATAAAAGTGCAGTAAGTTCTTAAAATTGCATTTCGACATAATTTATTTTACGGAACGAATTACATACATTTGCGCATTACATAAGTGTACTGTGTAGGATCTATTAAAAATAATAAATGCAGATATGATAGAGTAAATATTTTATAATTTGATTTTGCGTGATTTTGCGTGATTTTCTAAACTTAAAAAATATGTTTACGATATATCTATGTTATTTAATGTAATAATGACATATGATCTTATTTTGGTACCTATTTAAAGATTTAGTATTCGCATTTGTTTTACTGAACTGTTTTTCAATAAAATACATGACGGTATATGAGATATTTTAATTCATATAGCTATCTGACACCTGTTGACTGTTTAATAAAACTACTATAACAAGTTATGTTAGTAATATTAGGTAGGCACATATATAATTTTATTAGTCTACAATTTATTTATAAAAGCATTCTCATAACATCAATTAAATTAACACTATTATTACTATAAATAATATCATGGATAAAAGAAAATTGTGTGAAAAAATACAATTACTTAAAAGTTATAAGAGTTGCGAAATATTATAAATAGTTATGTAATTATAAGTATCTCCAGTCTTTGAATTCATATGCACAGTAAGTGTTTTCATTTCACACGTTAACTAGCATAATAATAATATTAATTATTTTGTTGCACTTGTATAGATTTATATTTAATTCGGAAAAAATATACCTACAACTTAGTTAAACAAGATTAATTTCAAAAGTGTAAATTAATAATTGAAAATAAATATTAGTTCCTTTTTATCTAAAAACAAAAAGGATTTTCAATAAATTTATAACATGTTGGTTAGTGTTGAAACTAATAAAAAACATAAATGATGATTTTGAATTACATTATAAATATGATATTCTAGAGTCTGAATATTTTATAAGCTTTAAGTTATACAACAATGATAAAAGCCTTAAAAATAGTTAATTTTTTTAATATACCTATAGTATATAATTCTTATGGGCACAATGTTAGATGTCGTGATTTTCCGTTACCTTGTAATGTTAGCTATGAATTAGACTACAAGAAATAATTGTTGTTCATGCTGTATAATATATTAGAGGAATAGAAACACATAAGTCATAAATATTTTTATCCGTAACTCAACATGACGAAGACGATGGATGATAACCGTAGTATGTTATACATAGTTCCCGTCCCCTCAAAACAATTTATTAATCAATTTAACTAGCTCGCCTACGTAAAAAAATAATAATAATTACATCATTGTTGTTTATATTATACATTATTTATACATTACGAATTTCTTACTGTGAATTGAAAAGTCTCGTGGTATTTTCGGTCTCCATGCCGGCCGTAAGATCATTTTATTTTCCAAACGTAATTATTAGTTTTTAATTATTTTTTAATTTCTCGAAAAACGTATAACAATATGCTCGTACACATGTATTGATATGATATTTATAGATAAACAATGTACTAATATTGGTCACACCGTATTCATTCTGCTGACTGCCGCGGACTAACAGCGTCGAACTTATGAAAGGTCGATAGCATTTCGAAGCACCAATATTGCTAACACAGTGTCCCCAGCCTTGCACGAATCGTATAAGGCGATACGGTTGGTTTCCAGTTTGGATGAAATTATTAATCATTGCCATGTAAATAGTCACGTTGCCCGTAAACATTAGGTGTGCATACTGCATATACGGTACAATACGGTCTTTTGCGCGCACGCTGTATGCACTCAGAGGACGGCGGCGGCGGCGGCGGCGGTTTACATCGCAGCTGATCGTAGCTGTCATCTGATACGCGTATAATATAATGTCTAATGAGCACGGTGTAGGAGGTATATCATGTATATTGTATATAATGTATAAATGAAATATAGTTTTACGAAACAATCCATTTGATTCTAATTTTGGTACATCATTTTCTAGGTTAATTTTCTGTGATTTAAAAAAAAATATATTTTTATTTGATTTGAAATTTGAAACTATATTCTGTGTAGCACTATTCAATTCAATATTATGGAAAAATATTCAATTTTTCTTACGAAAAATACATCTTTTTAACTTAATTATCGCAATTAAAATATTTTTTAAAACGTTTTAAAGTAAAAATATCGATTAATTAACAATTAGCCTTTTTATTTTGTTTATTATTGATGGCTGATTTGACTAAGCGCATAGAGTTAGGTCGACTTGCTTCCGATCGGAAAAGATAAATAATAATATAAAATTAAACAAAGACATTTCTATTTAAAAATCATAAAAAATGCTTATGAAAATTAGTGTTTACCTACAATTAAATTAATGTGAATAGATCAGCGGTGTGTATATATGTATATAATTATATAAATGAAAGGTCAGGTTACGATTTCAGGTGTAACACTTGCTGAAGTTGACATACAACAGCGGTATGCGTACAATATACCTACGATGCATAAAATCCCAATAATTTCCAAACCACCATAATGTAACTAAATTATTTCTTATAAACTTGTAATTTAACAATTGTTTTACAAATTAAATGATGGAAAACAGGGATTTAAAAAATGATTGGTTTTGATGTATAGATAGCCTGGTATGTATCCGTATACGCACACAAATCGTAATAATTAGTCACTTATGTTTTTTAGTTTATTTAACATGTAATTTGTCTGACGTGTTAATAATTAATTATTGTTGCGCGTTTTAAACCAAAATATTTGATCACTATACATTACTTAATAATACCAAACAATTTTAAAATTTAAAACTGGATGAATGTTATTTAAAATAGATACTGATGTTATGTCGTATTTTATAATACAGATAATATGTTTATGGATATTTTATGTGAGATAATATGTCACAATAGGTATGTGCATTGAGTTGTTCTATATTCGTTGAAGCAAAACTTGTCGTGGGTCTTGAGTTAACATTATAGTTATTAGTTATTAGTGTATAGCTTATAATTATTAAGTTAAAGTGAGTAAATATTGTACTTAATACTCGTAAGTTCTATTCAACATCTTACAACTTCAAAGCTTATAATATTTTAAAGTAGTAAAACCCAAAAAATTAATTTTTATCTTCAATGTAACCTTTTTACTCGTATACTTAAATTGTATAAATAAATTTACTCTTAATTAATTAAATCTATTCATTTCCCACAAATTTTATATTAACAAATATTTTGAGAAAATAGTCAACATAAAATAATAAATATATATAATTGCACAAATAAAAACATAATTAAAAACAAATTAACATTGTTATTATAATTCTAATTTAGTTATAAGTATTTCTAATAATTTTTTTACCATGCAGAAGTAATTATTTGAAAGACAGCTTAATATAATATTGTTGAAAATAATTTAAATTTATATCTAAGTTTAAAAATTGTTTAACTTTTTTTAATAATTGTAATGTAATACGCTACATAACCTAAAACAGCACCATAGATTCTTTAGTACTGAATCATTTTTTTAAAAATAAAATTCCCAAAAATAAAAGGGTAGATTAATATCTTGAGAACGCTTATAAGATATTTGGATACATCTCAATATTAATAGTATTAGGTTTACGTTTAGAGGTAAAATTAGATAAAATATAATTTATTCCTATTGTTTATTATTATAAATTTTAAATTTGAGGATTGAATATAATTTAATTACATACACATTTTGGTTAAAATGTATTTAAAATACCAATGATATTAACTATTAAGCCATATTATATTATATAATTTTTTTAAGATTAACACGAAAATCATAATATTGACCATATATTTATTAATTGAAATAACGGTTTTTTCTTTATTAAAAAAATACTTCTATTCTTTTTCTATAATTATTACGAGTAATTATTTTATGAAAAACTCAAAATACATGTGTATACTTTATGAATCAACAAAAATATACATACTAATAACTTATTAGTAATAAGTAATATAAGTAATATATTTAAACGACGAACATAGATAAGTTAATCTATTCGAAATCCAGTTAAATTTATCTTTATGTATTTTTAAATACCATCATCAAATTGTCACAGGTTGATCTTAAAATTGTGCAAAATGATGTTCAAAATATTTATTTAAGTAAAGTTTAGTGACAAACTAAATAACTCGCGTGGATCTGATGATGATAAATACATTATGCAACTGGACTTGCTAGCACGAAAGACCGCCAACTACTGATTCTCGTAGATATGATATAAGCTATTTAGATACCTAATATAATTCTATCGGCAGATGGATAACCATGGTAAGTATGTGTGTGATAAGTATGGTAAGTAGGTATGTTGACATGGTATTAGGTACCTTGTCTCTGTGTGGTCTGCGTGAATTGTCTCGTGACCTGTTGTTCGGTACGGTTTATGCTCCTCTGTCCCGTGGACATCGAGGATGTGGTGGTAGTGGTAATTTGTTTTTGCTGTTGTTGTTGATTCATGACTAATGCACAAGTCTCCTCGCGCCCCAGCAGGACGGTTGGCCGTCGGTCGATACCAAAATCCTTCACTGACCCTTAACTCTCGGCAATTTCACACGCGTTAAACGAATAGAAAAAAATTAAAAACAAAAAACGGTCGAACGGAAAACAGTGAAAACCTGAATGGAAAATGCACACGACACAGGTTTAAACAATTATATTAATTGACACCCGCGATCAGAGTTATCTCGCACAGACTTTCCGCGTTTTCTATACGTATATATAAGTGATTTCCGAAAATATCTTTCGCTAAGTATGCGTATGACGGTGGTATCGTGTTTGTTATTCTTTTCGATATTCACTCTCGGACTCGTCTTGGTGGTAACTGAATCGCCGAAGTATGTGGCATTGTGGGTACTTGGAACGATGGCGGCTGTAGCGGCGGCGGCGCTGTCGTGGTGGGAGACCGACGTTTGAGTAATGTGCTTTATTTAGATCTCTGTAAAATTAGAGGGTCCCTTACAGGCGACTATCTATGTGGGACGTGTTTTATTTTATTTATTATTATTTTTCTTTCTTTCTTAATATTTTTATTTTTATTTCTATTAAGAGATGTGGGGTGTGTATGGTGAACTTGAAAGTGTTGAGGTGCCTGTAAATATACTTATAGACAAAAACGTAACACATTGACAATGCGCTGTTTCAAAAAAACTTAATGAAAATTGTTATGATTAATATTCTAAAAATAATAACCATTGTTGTTGTCTGTTAATGAGATCGAATATATACGTTGCAATAAATGCACGTTGCGATAGTTTAATGTTTAATTAATAATATTAGGTATGCTTAATTTTTAAAAGGGGTAGATAATAAAATCAGTTTTCACATAATACATTCATTTTAAAAATTGCTTGTATTGTTACATCTAAAATTCTATTTAAATGTAAACAACCTAAAACTTAAATATTACAAATTACAAATCAGCCGTCAGGTATGAATTTGTTTCTTGTAACTATACAAGATCTAGGTAGGTACCTATAAATTATATAGGTACTTAAATGATATGGGTTAAAATATGTCCTCTTTTAAACTAAAAGTAACAAAATCGTTTATTCAGTGACTATCGACTTAGTTATAAATTATAAATAGATCAATTTCATAAATCTAGGATTTTTTAGGTTTAAACATAAATGGCTTATTAATATGATAACTATATTATGTTATTATTTAGACATTTAGATAAGAATTTTGTTTTACAAAATATGTGTAGGTGGCTTCTACATTTTCTTTCTATCAACTTGATAATTAAATTTAACAGTTTTAATCATTTGAAATAAAATGTTCGCTTGTATAATTTTAAACCATGTGTTTTTGAAAGCTCTCAATGTGTTATTTTTAATTCTGTAATACAATACGATAAAAATATTTAATTCAAATTTACTTTAAAAAAAATGTAATTATATTAATAGTGAATCTATACATACTTCAAACTGTAGTAATATTGTAATTTATTAAAAAAAAATAATAATTACTTAATGGTGCCAATAAAAACTATATAATATGTCGAGTCGTATTAAACATATGTTAACAAATAATAATATAAAAAAAATGTTCTTTTTGATAAACATAAAAATATAAGCTTTTGAGCGAGCTATTCTTGTTAAAAGATTTATTATTTTTATATAACGCCTGCATATTAAAAATATATATTTGAAAATTTTAAAAACATATTTTAGGATAATGTACGTCATAGACACACTAAGACTAATAATATGTCACAGATATTATCATAAACCATGAATGCCTACTTGTAGGTATAGCTGGAAATTCGCCACTACATTATAATAAATTCATAGTTGATTAAATAATTTTTAAATCACTGATAATATAATATGAAGTTCAAAATTTCATTGTATAATTTATTTCTGCCAAGACGAAAAAGAAAACTATGATAGAAAATAAATAATAAAATTATGAAGAACGTTCAAAGACCTTATACCGACAATAATAATATATGTTATTAGCTACTACTAATCTAGTTGCAAATAAGTACTAGACGTGCTATAAATAGAGTGACACGTGTACACATTATTATGGTGTCTCATGGACATAATTTTTTAAAACTAACCCACCTTCCATCACTCATGCAAAATTGATTGCGTACGCTGTCGAAATATGTCGCCAATTTTGCCGGTTGAAAAACGATTGCAGTTTGCAAGGCATTTACGATCTAGCCAAAATGTATTTTAATTACATATTATCATAATATAGAATATTTCGACTTATATTTGGACACGAAAATATTATTTTTTTAATTGTCGATTTACTTGGTTTTTTTATTTTTATCATAATTTTTGTTTAGAACATTAAATCAATAAATACGATTGTTAATATAAATAATAATAGGTAATCTTTACAAAAAATAAAAAAATTATTCAATAACGATCAGTTCACATTTCGTTTCCATAAAAGAGAAATGTCTTTTTAACATAACTATGTTAGTATAGGTATTATATTTACAATATTTTTACGATGGAATGTAGGTTCACGATTTCAAATTTTATTACTACTTACTATATATTTAATAGCTTGAATAATAACAATAAAATGTAAAATTATATACTTATGAACTACGAGTACAACAATATTTAATACTTTTTCATATTTTATTTTTTTAAGCTTTTACCATTTTGCAGAATTTTTTAATTAAGATTTAACACGATTTGTACTTTGCTCGTGTCTAGTAAATACACTAATTAGTACATGAAGATTTTTAAATGTAACTGAAATGCCTGACAAATGTAATTAACTAACTAGTTAGATGAACGTTGTAATAAACATTGTTCTTATCAATATTACATTTTTTTTTTTTAAATATGTAATTTACAATAATCATTTAATATCAGATTTTAAAAATGTATAACAATAAGAGTTATTAGTTATTACATAGTTAGTTAATTAAATACTATTTGTCAGTATATTAAATTATTTTTAGTAATTTAAGTACTAGTGACGTCTTTTTAGTGTATATATATATTACGTAATAAATCAATGCTTTCTGTTAAATACATAACACAGCAAATTTTGAAAAAAAATTGATAAAAAATACAAGCAATCAGCCATTTTCACATCTCATACCAGTTTTTAAGTACCTAGTTTGATGAGCTTTGATCAGAATAGTTGTGCTGCTTTTATTTAAAGACATTCCTTTCTAGTAGGGAATCCAAGAATAGTGTGTACGATTTTTATTTAATATTTTGTTTATCAAATTATATGTTTCTTATAATAATATATTGTATGCGCATAGATATTATAGACAGGTTACCTACTAAAATATAATCGATATGGAATTATTACTTACTAAAATATTCGTTGGATTTACACTCGATAAGAACATTGCAGTTCACTAAATCTTCATTGTAAGGTTTAAATAATTCACCATCTGAAAAATACAATGTATAAAAACATATTATATATTACAAACAATAATTATGAATTGTTATATAGTAAATAATGGATGTTATTCACAATCTTTAATCATTTAAAAAGCAATAAATTAATAATACGCCACAACAAGCTTTAATAGTTGGTCAACGTTAATTCACAATAACTTGTAGATAGTAAACAAATAGTTTAAAACGATACTATATACTAAATACCTATACACAAATTTGATATATTTAAATAAGTTAAAGTACTTAACTTGAAAATCATATAAAGACCAATTATATACATTTTTATCAATTTGGTTGTGATGAATATTGTCAACCAATCAATAACGATGACCTTATGAAGGGTGATGCTGATAATTATGATTATGTATGGTGATAAGTAAAAAAAAAGTTCTCAATCTGTTTATTTAGGTCTACTTTCTAAATTGTTACTACACTATATATTATACTTATTACTTACCGATGATATTTAAGATATTTTATAATTATCTTTATATCAGACCTAATAATATAACAATATATAATATACGCGTATAAGATAAATAAAAAGATCTTTAAATGTATACTAAAAATATAAGTTGAAAATAATTTCAAATTTAAGAGGCAATATTCTCTTAAAAACATTACTTTCAAATTAATTTTATAGTTGTACTTTAACCTATATGTTTAGAAAATAAATAATTATGCCATAAATTGTATACACCCTATTATTAATATTTTTAACATTATGATATTCATATTCAGCTCATTCACAATCACATGTCTTTAAAAACATGTTACTTTTTTATAAATCTAATAAATTGTCTTCATGGCTTTCTGAGGTGTTCAGTATAATTATTTATAAATTATTACCAAATTAAGCAGTTAAAAATATAGTTAATACCTACAATGTTCTATAATAACTAAGCAATACTATTGTAAATAATAATAATGAAATATTCTAATAGCAAAAAAAAAAAAAAAAAATATGTTTTTATTTGTTGGTTTCGTTTTAAATTAATTCACTAAGATTCTTTGATATTAAATTAGGTCACTTTAATAATTATTAAAATTATGTATATACTCATAAAAAATATATTTATAACGACATTTGCAAACTATAATAACAAGTGGTAAATCTTGTTACCACTAGCCAATATTTTGTTACCAACATGTTGAATTTAACATGTGATATGACACAATTTGATGAAATATAAAGACCGCTGTTTACTTTACTTAACTCAGTTTCTTTTATACGTTTTGAAAATTAATTTAGTTAAAATATAAATAAAACATATCTATTTAATTTAATAAATTAAATAAGCGATAAAATAGAAATAAAAATTGAAATAATTCATAAATAAGTAAGGACATCGTATTTTTAACTAGGTAGTAGGAGTAATATGGGCACATTAATTCGTTTAAAATAAAAAAATAATATAAATTTTGAGAATATGGTAAAATCAGAGTCCAAAGAGATAATGATCAAATGAATTATGGCAATTAATGATAGATTAATATTAAATTAATTTTTGCAAAAAGAATATATTATTATATTTATGTAAAAACAACTTTTCAGAATCTATATTCATTAAGGTAAGTAAGTAAGTAAGTAATAACTGAATAATTATGTATAGGATTATTTCAATTATTTCTAGTACAGCCTCCGTAAAGTTATTTCGAATCATAAAATAGATGCGTAGGTGAACGCAAAATGTTTAATTCTTGTGGATCTAATAATTAACTGCTGACATGAAACGAGACGTTAAAAAATAATTATATTTCATAGATAATACATGGCATGAGTGCAATTTATTTATTGAACCTTTAAATTTTAAAAATAAAAAAATATTTAGAGTTTAGACTTCATGAACCTGTTCAATTTTTAAAAATAATTGTTTAATAAAGTGTCAGAATATTTAAAAACTAATTAACCTGTTGA